AGGCACCTGCCTACTGCGTAGCCTATGTCAAACTTCCATTCTTGGTTTCACATACCATTCCCGGGCGAGCTTCTTATACGCCTTTTTAATGTCAGCCTGGCTGGCTGTGCGGCTGACACCCAGGACTCTGTATGGGTCAAAATCCAACGCAGACAGACCTTGCAGGGTCAGAAAGAGAACTATCCAGAACTGCCAGGAGACGCTCAGCTTTTTCACCTCCATCTCTCTTCCTTCCAAGAGCTGAAATGATTAAAAGGTAGCTTTAAGTTCCACCGGCAGAAACCTGGACGGTCTTACTTTTTAGGTGAGGAGATAAAGATATCACGATAAGAATCAAACAAAAACAATTTTTGTTTTTTTTAGAAATGGGATTTCGTCAATCTAGTTGACCCTATCTTAAAACAAAAACAAAAACAAGCTGGGCAGTGTTGGTGCAAGCATACCTCTAATCCTAGCACTCAGGAGACAGAGGCAGGGAGACAGCTGAGCTGAAGGCTAATCTAGTCTACAGAGCAGAGTTCCAGGACAGCCAGGGACACACAGAAAAACCCTCTCTTGAAAAAGTCAAAACAGAAACTTACTGAAAATGAATGAGCTGAAATAAGTAGCAACTGTGAGAATATATTCAGAATAATCAGGAGACCACATCTCAAGTGCACAATTTCATCTATCCTGACAATAAACTTAAAGTTATTAAGTATTAAGTAAACTCATCATCCAATTTATCACGTACTAAATTACAGTCTGGGATCATTGTGGCATTTCTGGGCACTAAATAAATATGAAACTAAAACATTTTAAAAATAACTGTGCAGTAATGTTCAGTAAGCCTGCTATTATTTTTCACCATGTTCATTCAAACAAGAAAATGAAAAGCTATTCTTTAATCCAGTTAGCAATTTGGTTATTGACCATGGAAACTTCAGATACGGAAAAAGTGGTTAAGAAGAAATTTAGTTTTCCTTTTAAAGAGAACTAACAGGGAAGACTTGAATCAGCATGGCTTTAAAATGTTTAAACTCCAACTCAGCTGAAGGGGTGAGCTCAATGTGAGTTTTGGAATAGTCTTTGCTGGCTGATGAGGAGATGGTGTGGTGAGGCTGGACACAGGGCTATGCTCTTTTATGCCACACACAGTTTTCATGGAACGAGTTTATCTTGATCTCACAGTGTTAAGGTTCAGTGGTTGACACCTTACTCAGGAGGGTGGATTTTTGACAAATGCAAGACAATCACTGTTTGGGAGTTTTCACAGACAGTTGGCCACTGTTTAGAACTGCACACATGCTAAGTAAAATTACAGGCAAGCTAGTTTCTCCCTTAAGACAACCTGTTTGAGCTCACCTGGCTGTGGGATTAGATTGGGGGGGGGGTGTCTGTCCACCACCACTCTAGGACCTAACCCTGTACTCTTGCTGCCAGGGTGGGAGCGAACACTACCACCTAGAGGGATCTTCATGGGCGAGGGTGGGGAAGAGTAAAGTGGGTAAGGGTTTACTAAGCAGAATCCACAAGCAGGGTGGGTGGAGTGCCAGCCTCGTTTGGGGGCCGTGGGGTAGCTCTTTGGCTGACATTCCAGGGGGTCGGTCTCAGTGCTGGGGGCGCACCGGACAACAGGTAGCCCTCGGCGTCCCCAAGGGCAGGCGGTGGCAGCTCCCAGGAGGTTCTGCAGGATTAAGCTCCGCCTCGGGCGCCCTCCCGGGTCGCGACCTTCCGGGAGGCGGCCCCCTCCCCCGCCGCCCCGGTTCCTGTCGGCTCTCGGGTCCCCCAGGGCCCAGCACGGGCTGGGGACGCGGAGGAGCTGACGGGACATCACCGAGCCTGTCGGGCCCCGCCGCGTCCGCGCGTCACGCCGGGAAGGAGTTACCGGGAAAGAGCACCGGCCCAACCGGCCGCAGCGTCCGTGCTCCAGTGAATCCGCCGGGGCCGGTGCTTCCAGTCCACACCAGAGCACCTGGGGAGGAGAAAGAGGCGGGGCTCAGGCGCGGGCGGTCACGTGACACTTAAAGACCCCCCCCCAGCACAGTGCAGGCTAGGCTTAGCACTAGGCAAGCTTTTTGGCCGCAGCCACTCGCCGTAGGCACGTGGATCTGGCGTGGTTGCTATAGGGACGGAGCGCGCTCTTCTGCTGGGTGCGAAGGCTTGATCTTGACCAGCGAGGCCAGAACGTGCCTCCTAGCGAGGCGGAGTCGCTATGCATCACGGGATGCCAGGAAGACCTCCGGGAACCCGGGAAGGGTTTCCGCTGGTTGCCAGAAGGTGGCCTACGTCTAGCAACAGTTGCTAGGACGGGGACGCAGTCGCTGGTCCCAGTTCACTTTAACCCTATTCATAGAATCCTAGAGCGTCAGAGTTTGAGCGGACCTTAGGGACTCTTTCTAGTCCGTCTCTCCATGTACTGAGACTCCGAGGGGGCCAAAGACTTGCCCAAAGCCTAGAATTCAAGACTCCAAATTCTGTTTATCAACGCAAGAGTGTTCTAGACTGAGACACTGGGAAGGGGGTGTGGTGGTGAATAAGGTTGACATTTTTTTGCGCCCGTGACCGAGGTTTCTGGGGATGTATTTTCTATTCCATGCCTCGTGTTGCCATCTTATGTAGTCATTTGCTTTTATCAATTAATCTAGTATATGGTCTTTGTTGTTTCTTTTTTGAGACAGGGTCTCACTGTGTATCCTTGGCTGGCCAGGACCTCGCCGGGTGGACCGGTAGGCCTCCAATTTACAGAGACCCGCCTGCCTCCTGCCTCCCGAGTGCACTGCCATGCCCGACTGTGTCTTTTATTTATTCCTTCCATATCGTCTGTCGCCTGCTTCTTCCCAGGAATGTGAGCTCCCATTGGTAGGATCTTTTAACCTGACTTGTTCAGCATTGTAACAGAGCAGACCTTGGCATGTACAATCGACCAATGAATATTTGCAAAATAAATGAAAATGAAAACGAAGCTAAGGACTGCTTCACCCCCACACCCCGCGCCCGTGTGGGGAATGAAAGGAGGGCATGAGTGCCCGGCAAGCGCTCTACCGTTGAGTTCTACTTGCGTCCATGCCTAAGGGTTTGCTGTTTTGGTTGTTTTGGGTTTAGCTCCTGCACCAGCCCCAACAGACCAATCATGCTAGATTTGTTGCTGCTGCTGTTAAGTGTGGGAACACCAGACCTTGAGCAGAGACCCACTTCCCCTTCTGCCTGGGAGTAGGCAGCTGTAAGACAATGTTTACTAAAAACAATACAATGCCTGGGGGCATTAAGTTCCTGGAAAAGGCCTGCCCGCAGAAACCACCCTGAGCTCGACCTTGTCCAAAGACTAACCGCCTCTTCTGCCACGCCCAGATCAGTTTCTGGGGTCAGAGCAGAACCAGCCAGGGTAGAGGAGAGAGCAGAAGCTTCTATGGTGGGAGCCTTTCTTAGGAAGTTTTCTTGAACCTTTTTGGAGCCTGCTTAAAGTTTTCTTTACATCGTTGAACGAGTCTCTGTGTTGTCAATCCCCGACACCCTCCGCACGTTCTCGGACACAGGCCGCGCAGCAGACGTGACAGTTATGTTCCCGTCAGGAACCTGGCAGGGATAAATAGCGTAAGAAGTGTAAAATGGCTAGCACAATGCTCAGCTAATTTTTTTTTGCAATTCCTTTTTTGCTATTTTTTAAAATTTAGATTAGAAACAAGCTTGTTTTACATGTCAATCCCAGTTCCTTCTCCCTCCCCTCCTCCCCTGCCCACCCATCGACCCCCATCCCATCCCTTTTCTGCTCCCCAGGGAGGGTGAGGCCTTCCATGCGGGAATCTTCAAAGTCTGTCATATATATCATTTGGAGCAGGGTCTAGACCCTCCTCCGTGTATCTATGCTGAGAGAGTATCCCTCTAGGTGCAACGGGCTCCCCATGTCCATTCGTGTACTAGGGATGAATGCTGACCCACTACCAGAGGCCCCATAGATTGCCCAGGCGTTCTAACTGACACTCACGTTCAGGGGGTCTGGGTGGATCACATGCTGGTTTCCCAGCTCTCAGTCTGGGGCCCATGAGCTCCCCTTTTCCAGTTACTTTTGATACGAGAGAAATGAGTGGTTCAAAACTGAGAGAACACAGGACTAGACTTACTGGCAGTTTCTCTGAAGTAGGTGGTAGGGATGGAAGGAGAGGAGACAGAGATGGAAGCCTGTGTGTGTGCTCAGCTGGGTGAGTCACCATAGTCCAAAGCAACGGAGTTGTGGGCAAGGAGGGGACCTGAGATTTTATTAGCCACAAAGTTGGGGCTTTAGAAAAACGCTACAACCCAGGCCCTCTAGGCACGGCTTTGTTTTCCTCTTGCCAGTGGTGTGACCTTTTGAGTGTCTGTAGAAGTAGAGTCGCTGTGAATTTTGGTAGAGCAATCGCTACGTGCGGGGAGGAGGGGCGGGGTGGAGGTACCACAACTGCTGAGAGCTTGGAAAGGCCCAAGGAGGCAAGACCTCGGAGCCTAGAATCCTAAGAGGGGCCTGGGGGCGTGGCAGGAGCGCGGGGGGGGCGGAAAGTCAGTGGGGTGGCCCAATGGGGCGTGGCAAGGTTAAGTTGGCGGGAGTTAGAGGCGGGGTGAAGGGGCAGGAGATGGACCAGAGAGGCAGGGTAGGGTCAGGCTGGAATAGCGCCTTAGTGAAAAACGTTGGAGGGTGGGGTCTGAGTAGTGGAATAGGGGGGTCCTAGGGGCGGGGAGAGGGGGGAAAGAATGTGGGATAACAGGGCGGGCCTAGGGGCGGGGCGGAGGAGCATCGCAGGGCCTGTTAGTAACGACGCAGGGGCGAAGCTTAGGGGAGGGGCCGTATAGTGTGGGGCGGGTCTTAGGAGGTGACGAGAGTGACGGGGCGGGGCTTGAGGGGTTTCAGGGGCGGGGCATAGTGCCGGGGCGGGGCTGAGAGCGCCTGATGTGGGAAATGGGATAGGGTGGGGAAGTTGGGGTGAGCGGGTGGCGGAGCCTAGTGGGTGCGTGGGACCGTAGCGCCAGGCGGAGCCTAATGACGAAGTGACTGGCGGCCTGCAGGGCCTCCATCGGGCGGGATCCCTTGCCAGGGCGATGTGGGGGCGTGGCGTGGGCGTCGGGGCGGGATCCGAGAGCCGGAAGCGAACGGAACTCGGGGTCCTGCAATCGGCTGGCCATGGACGAAGCTGACCGACAGCTCCTGCGGCGATGTCGGGTCCGCCTGGTGAGCGAGCTGCAGGTCGCTGAGCTCTGGGACGCTCTGCTGAGTAGGGAACTCTTTTCGCGGGACATGATCGAGGACATCCAGGTGCGCCACGCCCCCTCACATCGCAAGGTTTTGCCGCGGCGCAAGTGGGGACTGGGAGGCTGAGCTTTTGCCCTCCTCTCCCTGCCTTGCACCGAGCATAATCCACGCCCTGGGAAACCATACATGGGAACTCCATTTTCAGAACCTTCCAGAATTCAGGCACCTTAACCCTCCAGATTCTTATAGCGTCCGGAAGAATGCGTAGAAAAGCCCCAAGCATCTCTTTTCCGGAGTGTTTGCTAAAGCGTCTGTAACCTGCACCATGTTGGTACTTGTGTTTCTGTCGAGAAAGTAGGCGTGTATTTTTCCTCCTCAAGAGTCCTAGGCACCCATCTTAGCCTTGCACTGGCTCATTGTGCCAGTCACTTACCCTCTTTGAGCCTCAGTTCCCTGGGCTGTGAAATGGAGCAATCGTCCTTCTGTCCTAGGCGAGTGAGATAAGAGATGTGAAGCACTTCCGTGCCAGACACAGCACAGGACGCAGCATGCCCTGTCCTTTTTAGTCGGACATTTATGTATCAGGTGCATACTTTATAAAGGATCTTAGGGGAAAGGAGGCTTTATTGTAGGTAATATAGAAGAATAAAATCAATCATTTGATCTTTAATAAAAATAAACTTGCAGAGGCAGGCAGATCTCTGAGTTCAGACCAGCCTGGTCTACAGAGGGAAGTTTCAGGACAGCCAGGGCTACACAGAGAAACCCTGTCTCAAAAAAAAATGCACTGTAGCATTCCAGTTGATTCTCACCACAGGTCTGAAAAGGGAATATTTCTTCCTGAGAGACTGTGAGTGGCAGGCCCTTGGGGACTGCCTAGAAGGCTGTGTCCAGCATCTGTATTATCATCCAGGAACCTGGTCTGGTCCAGTGAAGGGCAAATAGAAGAAAGTGGTCCAGAGACATGTGATTAACTACTGATTAATAATAAAATCAGTCAGTTGTGGGACACCCCTTTAGTCCAAACACAGGGGAGGCAGAGGCAGGCAGATCTCTGTGAGTTTGAGGCCAGCCTGGTCTAAATAAAAACAACAAAAAATAAAAATAGAATCAGTCTTAGGAACAACAATTGATCAAGGGAAGCAGTTTGAAGGGAGAGTCCTAGCCTTGAAGGCACATTACGAGGGACCATGTGCTGAACTTCCCAGGGAGGTACTAGCAGCTTTTTGTCTTACTCCCTTCTCCAGCTAAGTGTGGTCAGAGCAGAATCCTGGCCCAGTGTTAGCTGTGGAGGACTGAAAGACAAGGCTGGCTCTAGTGGTGACACACACCTTTAGTCCCACACTCAGGAGGTAGAGGCAGGAGGATCAAGGCCATCCTTGGCTACATAATGGAGTTAGAGGCCAGCCTGGCTACATGAGATCCAGTCTTCAGAAGCCAAAAGCAAGGACTGGAGAGTGGCCTCAGTGGTTAAGATCATTTTTGCAGAGGACATAGGTTCAGTTTTCAGCACCCATATGTCAGCTTACTGCAGCCTGTGACTGCAGCTCCAGGGGATCTGACACACTCTTCTGGTCTCAGGAGGGTCAGAATGTCAAGGTCGTCCTTGGCTGTATAGGAAGTTGAAAGCCAGTCTTGGCTACTTAAGAACTTTTCTCTCCCCCAAACCAAACTGAAAGCTCCATACCCCCATACAAAACAAACAGCCTCTTTCCTTCAAAAAGGAGAGGCTGGAAATCTTGATTTCTATATTCAGTTCCCTCTTTTACTTAAATGTTAGCAACAAATTTAGAAAACTTGGGGGCTGGAGAGATGGCTCAGCAGTTAAAAGCACCAGCTGCTCTTCCAGAGGACCCAGGTTCAATTCCCAGCACCCACATGGCAGCCCTAAAGTGTCTGTAACTCCAGTTCCAGGGGACTTGACATCCTCACACAGACACACATGCAGGCAAAACTCCAATGCACATGAAATAAAATAAATAATTTTAAAAACTTAGAAACTTCTAAGTACCTGTGCAAAACCCTGGCCACCATTTTGCTCCTTTTCTTAGGGCTAATTAGCACTTAGCATAGTGCTGGATACACAGTAGGCATCTTAGCACAGAGCTGGAACACAGTAGGCATCTTAGCACAGAGCTGGAACACAGTAGGCGTCTTAGCACAGAGCTGGACACACAGTAGGCGTCTTAGCACAGAGCTGGGCACACAGTAGGCGTCTTAGCACAGAGCTGGGCACACAGTAGGCATCTTAGCACAGTGATGGACACACAGTAGGCGTCTTAGCGCAGTGCTGGGCACACAGTAGGCGTCTTAGCACAGTGCTGGGCACACAGTAGGCGTCTTAGCGCAGTGCTGGGCACACAGTAGGTGTCTTAGCGCAGTGCTGGGCACACAGTAGGCGTCTTTGAAGCACTGTAATATACAGACAAGCAAAGGCTGCAGAGGAACCTGCATTCAGTACACTGCTGGGTTGGTCTCTGCCCAGCTGCCCCAGGCTTATGCTAGAGGAAACGTGGGAGATAGGGTGAGAACCAATGAGCATCCCTGGATAATAAGTGTCTGGTTTTTCTGTCCAAACAGAGGGCAGGCTCTGGGTCACGGCGGGATCAGGCCAGGCAACTGGTCACAGATCTTGAGACCCGAGGGAGGCAGGCCCTTCCTCTCTTCATCTCCTGCTTAGAGGACACAGGCCAAGACACCTTGGCTTCATTCTTGCGACGTGGTCGGCAGGCAGCAGAGCAGCGTCCACAGACTGTTAACCCCCTGGGCCACCTGGTGCCCGTGGCCCTGGGACCAATGGGAATCATACCAAAGGAGCAGAAAGCAGTGACGTCGGACCCATCGCAGCCTGCCCTGGGAAACCTCGCCCCAGTAGTGCTGGGGCCGGAAGAGGTCCGGCCTGCTCAGCTCAGGCCAGAGGTTCTGAGACCAGAGACACCCAGGCCAGTGGACATCAGTTCTGGCAGCAGCCATGATGTCTGTGAGTATTGAGAGAATGGTTGCTGGGTAAGTGCAGTGAGGTTATTGGGGTGTGACTCTGGGTACAAATTGGTGGGTCGAGACTCTGAATTAATTCTAGTATTTGTCTTAGTGAATGCTCATAGGAAATGAGTGGAATATTCCCATCAGTCTATAGGAGCTGTCAAGTTGGCAGCCCATCTGAAAAGCAAGAATGTGTTTTCGATGTTCCTGGTTTCTGTGCGAGTTTCTGGAAGGATCTGTTGCTCAGGGTTTGCCTTTGGGTTCTGGTGGATGACTGAAAGTACCAGGCCTGACAGGAGGTGTGAGGAAGCTGTTTGTTAGGACTCTGCCCTGGACACATTCATATTGCAAGATGTATAAACTCCTACCTCCCTGCAGCCCTTCAAGGCAGATGCCCTTAGATCAGCCCTGTAAGTAAGGAAACAGTGTCCCAGGAAGGTGAAATCCTTTGCCAGAGAGGACAACAGCCTGCTGTGAAATGCTTACACCTGACCCGGGAGGTGGGCACACAGGTTGCCACCCCCACACCATCACGGGACATTTTAGTATCCTAGGAGACCTTGTCTCTTCAGTCAGTACCTACTCCTGCAACTGAGGTAATTGCTGTTGTGGTTTCCTCACACCTGTCACTTTTGCTTGTCTTTGTACATCAGTGAAAATGAAATCATATCTTAGGAGCTCCGCTGAGTCTTCATCTTTTACTCATCGTATTTGCATTCCATTCATGGTGTTGTGCAGACCTCAGTTCTCTCCTTTTCAATGCTAGGGGGCAGTAGTTCCTATTGTGAATTACCTGAAGTTATTTAGTCTGTGTACATGTGCGCACACACATGTGTGCATTGGTGCCGTTTGTACAGGAATGCATGTGTCCATATGTCAGAAGACAGCTTTGGGTGTCATTTTTCAGAAGACATCCGACTTGCTTTACTTCTATTTAAAAATATTTGTTTTATGTGTGAGTGTGTGTATGTACATGCGTGTGTGTGTGTGTGTGTGTGTTTTGCCTGCATGTATGTGCACTACATGCATGCCTGGTGCCCACAGAGGCCATAGGATCCCACATCCCTTGGAACTGGAGTTAGGGATGAAGGTGAACTGCTGTGTTTACTGGGACCCGAACCTGGTTCCTCTACAGGAGCAGCCATTGCTCTTCTCAGCTGAACCGTCTCTCTATCCCTCACCCCCACCTCCCTTCCTGCTCTCTGCCATGGAGTTCATAGGAATGGAGTCATGTGTACTTCAGTGACTGGCTTGTTTGTTTTTTACATAGCCTCATGTTCTCTCCGGGTTACCCAGGGCATTGTGTATGTCATTGGTTGGCTTCTCTTTAGGACGTCCCCCTGAGTGGCCAAATCACATTTTAAGACTTTTGAGAAAGACTTTTGTTAATGTTCTTGGACAGCTCTTTTCCAGGGTGGAAGTGTGTTTAATGTTGTTTACCAACAACATTTAGACACTTCTCCATGCTGGCCGTGTTGCTTGACTTTCCTAGTGGGAACTGTCAAACAACTCCTTGGCCTTTGCCAACTGAACCCCAACACCCACATCTCTTCTTTCCTCTGTCTTTGTAGGTGCAGCAGAGAAGATCAAGGGTCGTGCAGATATGGTGAGTCCTCATGTGATTAGAGTTTGTCTTTTCCTGTGGCTGAGCTAGGAGCTGAGGAACCCCGCCTGGCTGGGGAAATCTGGTTACAGTCACCACTCTCCATGCCTCCTGACCCCGGCTTGTCCCACCTATCCTGCTCATCTGTCCCTGTAAAATGAGAGTTCAAACCTAAAGAAAGGTTACATCCTCTAGGGTATTCACTGTAGGACAAGCCACTCATGTTGCTCTTCCAATCTAAATACTCTATGGCTCCCATGTATTTCTCCATGTTGGGGATAAGACCACTTAACTTGCAGAGCCCTGTGCTGGGAAGACGAATATTCCCATAGAGTGATCAGACCCATGGACAGGCCATGGAAGAGGAAGTTCAGAGTCATAGCCTGCGGTGCAAGGTGTTTCAGGAGATCAGAGGGTGGGCCCTGGATTGAGATTGATGTAACAGAACCTACCATTTACCCCTCAGTTTAGCCTAGGGTAGTGCCACAAAGTTGCATGGTGTTTAAAGTCCTTTTGAGGTGAATGTGTCTGGGTTGGTTGGGTTCTTTTTGTTGCTGTTGTTGTTATTTTTAAGGAATTACTATGTTATGTGTGTGGGTGTCCCACCTACATGTATGTCTCTGTCTCACATGTGTGCAGTGTGCACAGAAGCTAGAAGAGGGAGTCAAATCCCCTGGAACTGGTGTTACAGACAGCTGTGAGCTATCATGTAGCACTGGGAATCGAACCCAGTCCTCTACAAGAGCACCCAGTGCTCTTAACTGGTCAGCTATCACTTCAGCCCCCCCTATTTTTATATTTTTGAGACAAGGGTTTATTATTTATCCCAAGGTGTTCTAGAACTCAATATAAAGAGCCAAGTTCATGTTGAACTCATGGCGATCTTCCTCCTCAACTTTCTTTTTTTTTTAAATTTATTTATTAATTATGTATACAGCACTCTGCCTCCATGTACACCTGCAGGCCAGAAGAGGGCACCAGATCTCATTACAGATGGTTGTGAGCCGCCATGTGGGCGCTGGGAATTGAACTCAGGACCTCTTGAAGAGCAGCCAGTGCTCTCAACCTCTGAGCCATCTCTGCAACTTTCTTGGTGTTTGGATTACATATTTTTTGTGTTGTTTTTGTTTTGGGGGGTGTTGCTTTGTTCATTTAAGACAAAGTGTCTCTCTGTAGAACAGGCTTGCCTTGAACACAGAGATCCTCCTGTCTTTGCTTCCTAAGTGCTGGGTTTAAAGGTATTTGCCATCAAACCTGGTTATCATTACAAGTGGTAGCTATGTAGCTGGGTCACAGTTTTCCATCCCTGATTTCTAAGATGGCATTCAGTTTTCTCTGATATGCAGGCACACACTTGTTACTTATCCAGCTGACCCTGGGGCATCAGACCTCATGTCCTGTACTGGTCTCCAGACCATGTAAGTGAGATCTAGGGGTCATGCACCCCCCATGATATTGCAAACCTGTCATTGGGCAGGCATACATCCTGGATGCAGACCCCTGTGGCTACTGCCTCATCATCAACAATGTGAACTTCTGCCCTTCCTCGGGGCTCAGCACACGCGCTGGCTCCAACGTGGACTGCGAGAAGCTTCAGCTCCGCTTCTGCTGGCTGCACTTCAGGGTGGAGGTGAAGAATGACCTGACTGCCAAGGTACGCTCACTGTCCCCTAGGGGATTCCCCAGACAAGCCTCGCTGTCCATGGGTAGTGGGAAGTGACATGGGCAACTTAGCATCAGACTTAGAGAACGGGAGTCTGAGGCCTGGCTTTCTCAGTGCCTACTCTTGACCTCTTATGCCTCAGTTTCCCTATTTAGAAGTGAGAGTAACTGTTCTCATAGAGTTATCATAGGGATTAAAGTGTCTGGTGACCAAGCATAGCATCTTCTTCTCCAAATGGAGCCAGGATGTAGACTGTGTCCATCACACTTCGGCCTTGGGAGCAGAGTGCTGTGTCTTGGCCTCTGACTGGACCCTACAGGTCAGACCTCCGGGTGCCCCTGCCTTACCTGCTGCCTTCCCTTGTAGAAAATGGTTGCGGCTTTGGTGGAGATGGCAGGACGGGACCACCGTGCCCTGGACTGCTTTGTGGTGGTCATCCTCTCTCATGGCTGCCAGGTAGGGAGCCCCTCCTCTTCATCCTTGAGAGGCCCTGCAGGAGCCCTGTCCCTTCTGTGCCCATGGAGAGAAAGAAGTGAGGCCCCGTCTCCCTCCTGCTGTCTTCAGGGCTCTGTGGGCCTCCGAGGGGTTTCCTTCATGGGTGGGAGGTGTCTGGAGAATCCATATTCAATAATGGGAGGAACAATTAAGACCTGTCCACCAAGCTTTCTTCCCCGGTTCAGAAACCAAATGTAGCAATCTCACTTCTGCTATGCTCTATGTTGTATAGTCCGGGCCCTTTACTGTTGGGTGGGGTGCAGGACATTGGGATCTGTCTGGCGCTTGGCCACCAGTACACTAGTTCATTGTGGTTAAGCCCTTACTCCTGTCCTGGTCCCAGGTCCTTCATCTTTTAAGTTGAAGGGCTAGAGACCAGTGAGATGGTCGAGCAGATAGTGCTTGCTGCCAAAGCTGGCAACCCAGATCCCACATGGAGAAAGGAGAGAGCTGACTCCTGCAACTTGTTCTCTGACCCCCACATGCGTGTGGGCACCCATACACACAACAACAATGACAGCAAAAGATATGCTGCTCTGCATTTAGCTGCTTCAGAGTGACTGGAGGACGAGAAACCTGACTGTGGAGGTCTAGGTGAGGCCTGGGAGTCAGCATTTTATGCGAGTCTTTGGGGGGTGCGGACACTGGTGGTATGGGGACACTTGGTGTACGCACCGCCAGTCTACTCTCTCAGGCTCCTAGGCTCCCATAGGTGAGTCTAGGCCCCTTGGTCTAGACTTTGTCTCTGTCACTCGGTGTCCCTGTCCACGGCCTTCTGATTATTTTCCTACCCACACAAGGTCTTGGGCCAGGCTCTGTTTTTCTACCTAGAGTCTTGTCTTTGTAACAAGGTGCCTTGTCCTGTAGGCCAGCCACCTGCAGTTCCCAGGTGCCGTCTATGGCACAGATGGATGCTCCGTGTCCATCGAGAAAATTGTGAACATCTTCAACGGGGCTGGCTGTCCTAGCCTGGGAGGGAAGCCGAAGTTGTTCTTCATTCAGGCCTGTGGTGGCGGTAAGTGGCACTCAGCCTCCTGTGAGCACAGATATGGAGCCCAGCCTGCTCCCTTCCCCACCCGCCCCCACTGTGTCTGGGGTTTCTCCTCACGCAGTCACTGGTGTACAGCAGGACTTCCACCTCAGCCTGCCATCATCTCAAGAGTGTGGTGTAGTGACATCACAGCCCATGTGGCCCTGATGACTTCAGGCCCAGAGTTTCAGTAAAAACTAAGTGGGGCCAGGGAGATAGCCCTGTCTGTAAAATGCCTGCCGTGAAAATGAGGAGTCTGAGCCCCAGCACCCATAGAAAGGCCAGGCACAGCAGTGCCTTCCTGTGAGCTTATTGCGGATAGGTGGGGAGGGGAGGGCTCTTGGGCTTGCTGGCCAGGTAGTCCAGCAAGAGACCTGTGTCTAAAAACCAGGTGATTGACGAAGACACTCAGTATTGTCCTCTGGTGCCTGCGTGCATGCATGTGCACACACATACACACACACACACACACACACACATTCACACACACAAACACACATTCACACACACAAACACATACACATTCATACACAGACATTCACACACGCAGACATTCACACACACAAACACACACACATTCACACACAGACATTCACACACATTCACACACAGACATTCACACACACATTCACATACACACACATTCACACACACATATTCATACACACACAGACATGCACACACATTCACACACACATTCACACACAGACATTCACACACACAGACTTTCACACACATTCATACACACACACACACATTCACACATACACACACTTTTTTTTTTGGTTTTTCAAGACAGGGTTCCTCTGTGGCTTTGGAGGCGAGGCTGTCCTGGAACTAGCTCTTGTAGATCAGGCTGGCCACATACACTCTTGAGAACAAAGCAAACGAATACTGGTGTGTTATTCTAGATAATGACACCAAGGAACTCTGACCATTCTGTCCCAGGGAATCCCTTCTGTCCGGGGAACCCCTTCCTACACTCCCCCACTCTACCCCAGGGCCCAGGTTCACCTCATGGCCCTTTTTCTGCCAATGCTCGTTCATGAGAATATTGACAACTTGAGGAAGAAGCTGTGCTATGCTCTTGGGCCTTGGCAATGCCCTCTTTTCACCCTTTTCCTGATCTAAGATGGTCTGCAATCACGCTCCAACTCTGACCACTGAAACACACAGAGGGAACTAGGAACAGTTGAGTGGGATGCCAGCTCCGGGACAGCGACAGTTCTCCTGTCTTTGCTTCTCCCAATCTCACCCATTTTCAGTAGCAAGTAAGATTTTAGTCCCACATGTATGAATGGTCTAACTCTTCATACTTCTTTTTTCCTTCGAGACAGGGTTTCTTTCTGTAGCCCTGGCTGTCCTGGAACTCACTCTAGAGACCAGGCTGACCTGAAACTTAGATATCCACCTGTCTCTGCCTCCCCAGTGCTGGGATTAAAGATGTGTGCTGCCACTGCCCAGTGGCTTCTTTGTTGTTTTTGAGTCTTACATATGTGAGTATTTTATATGTATGCATGTCTGTGCACCACAAGTGGGCAGAAGTCTGTGGAGGCCAGAGAAGGACATGAGATCCCCTGGAACTGAAGTTAGAGATGGTTGTGAGCTGCAATATGAACCAACCCTGGGCCGTCCAAAAGCCATCTCTTCAGCCCCTAACTTTTCCTTTTACCCTGTTTACAATTGATTGTTATTGCCTCTAGGAAGTTTGCTTAGACACCCACTTCCTTGACAAGGCTAATCCCAGCACTTGAGAGGCAGAGTCAGGAAGGTCTCTGTGAGTTCCAGGCCAGGTCAGTCTACATAGTGAGTTCCAGGGCAGCCAGAGCTACATAGAGAGACCAGGTTAGCCTGGGCTACATAAGATACTGTGTATCCTCCCTTTGTCTAGCTTTGTCCCCATCAGGAAGTATGACCTGCTGTTGAATGCTGTTGCCACTTGGTGGTGCCATGTCATCTAAGAAGGGAAACATAGTAACTTCCTTCCCTGTCCTCTGCCTGGCTGGGTGTCCTGTTCACACACATGCAAATGAGACCCAGGATTTTACCATTCTAATTTAAAAGGCAACTTGTCACCTACCCTTTGTTAGGAGGTAGCATAGAACCAGGCTGGAAAAAGCTCCCCCAGAGTCAGTAACTTGTGTGGTGTTGTCAGTGTGACACAGTTGGTGTATAGTGTGACACTCTTGGCCAGAGGCCAGCTGTGACTCAGTCAGGTTGAGCTGTCAGTTTTGGGGTGACACCTCTTTTGGATTTTAGAGCTTAGGAGGAGAAGGCAGAAAGTGCACACGGTTGGCCACAGCAGCTGCTGGCTTCCACGCTGAGGGGACTTTCTGCCTCCTGCTGTATGCTCTGTGGGGGTCATTCCCTGCATGTGTACACTGTAACCTGTAGACTGAGGATGACACATGAATAGAGATGCATCTGCTGTCCCCTCTTTGACTTGTTTTTTCCTCTTTCCCTACTTCCCGACAGTGGTCATTTGGGTGATGGCAGCCTTTCTGTCTCCATAGACGGCCGTGGGCTGCACCTGTATTATTTCCTTAGGAAATTGTGAGTTTAGGAGGTGAACACACTGACACAGATTTGGTTACCTGTGACTTGGTTTCCTTTATTTAAGGTGTTTTCTTGTTCCAAAGTTGTAGTTAAAGGTTTTTAATATGGCATATGTATAAATCTGGCACACACACACACACATGCATACACACATAAAATTTAGTGTATATGTTCACATTTATGCATGTTTGTGGAGTTAGGAGGAAACTTGGAGTCAGTATTTTCCTTCCACCATTTGGGTCCATTTTGCAGCAAGTACCTACATCTACTGAGCCATTTTGTTGTAACCTATTTGGTATAGTTTCGATTTCATCTTTGGGATGCCATACAATGACTAGGGTAGTTCAAAAATACAAATGATTGGGCCAGTTAGTACAGACTTTTAATCTCAGCTATTTTAGAGGTCAAAGCAGGGTGATCAAAATTCATGGCCAGGGCCTGAAGAGAAGTATCTGTGGTTAAAAGTACTATTATTGCATAGGACCCAATTCAGTGACTCAGTGGTTAAGAGTGAATACTGTTGCACAGGACCCTGTTCAGTGAATCAGTGGTTAAGAGTATATACTGTTGCAGAGGAACCAGTTCAATGAATCAGTGGTTAAGAGTGCATACTGGGTTTTTTGTTTTTGTTTTTCTGAGACAGGGTTTCTCTGTGTTGCTTTGGAGGCTTTCCTGGAACTTGCTCTGTAGACCAGGCTAACCTCAAACTCACAGAGATCCACCTGTCTTGGCCTCCCAAGTGCTGTGATTAAAGGTGTGCGCCACCAATGCCTGGCAAGAGTGCATACTGTTGCACAGGATCCAGTTCAATAAATCAGTGGTTAAGAGTGTGCGTAGTATTGCAGAGGACCCAGTATTGTGAGATAATGCTCCTGTTCACCGTAAAGATTTGTTACTTGTATTGGCTTAATAAAATGCTAATTGGCCAGTAGCCAGGCAGGAAGTATAGGCATGGTTACCATACTAGGAGAATTCTAGGAAGAGGAAGGGAGAGAGACGCAGTTGTCAGCCAGACACAGGGGAAGCAAGATGAGAATACCTTACTGAGAAAAGGTACCAAGCCATGAGCCTAAACATAGAGAAGAATTATGGTTTCATTTAAGCTATAAGAGCCGGGCGTTGCCTTTAATCCCAGCACTCGGGAGGCAGAGGCAGGCAGATCTCTGTGAGTTCGAGGCTGGCCTGGTCTAGAGAGAGAGTTCCAGGACAGCCTCCAAAACAATACAGAGAAACCCTGTCTCAAAAAAACAAACAACAAAAAAATTTAAGCTGTAAGGGTTTGTTAGTAATATGCCTGAGCAATAGACCAAGCAGTTTATAATTAATATAAGCTTTTGTGTGTTTATTTGGGACTGAAAGGCTGCAGAACCAGGTGGGACATAAACTTCTGTCTCCGTGTGGCACCCAACGTGGACTGATGATGGGGGATGTCCTTCTGTATGCTGTGAACATATGTTTCTCTTATTGGTTGATGAATAAAACTGTTTTGGCCAATGGACAGGCGGGATTTAGCCAGGCAGTAAATCCAGACAGGGTTAGAGAAAGTCAGTAGACAGAGTCAGGGAGATGCCATGTAGCTGCCGAGGAAGCATCACCAGTAAGCCAAGACCACGTGGAGATACACAGATGAATAGAAATGGGTTAATAATTTAGAGAGAGGTAGCTAATAAAAAGCCTGAGCCATTGGCCAGGTCTCTGTGTGTTTATTTGGGGCTAAACAGCTGTGGGGCCAAGTGGAACAGAAACTTCTGTTTATAGCCCAGTTTGATGAATCAGTGGTTAGGATGCACGCTGTTACACAGAACCCAGATCAGCTCCTAGCAACCACATTGGGCCGCTTCCTGTACCCACAGCTCCATGGGATCCAACACCCTCTTTTGGCCACTGTGGGCAACTGCACTCATACACATACCTCAGCCCCACACACAATTAAAAATAAATACTCTGCCAGGCGAGGTGGTTTATGCCTCTAATCCCAGCACTGGGGACACAGAGGCAGGTGGATTTCTGTGAGTCCAAGGCCAGCCTGGTCTGCATAGTAAGTTTCCAGATAGCCAGGTCTGCATAGTGAGACCCTGTTTGAAAACAACACAGGTGTGCTTCAGTCCTTCCAATGTTGGCAGAGCTCACAAGTGAAGCCTTCGGGTCCAGGCCTTACTGGAGAAGCACCTTGTGCTATAGTGCTTCTACAACGTAGTGACATTGGGTGTCTATTTTTCCTTCCTGCAGAGCAGAAAGACCATGGCTTTGAGGTGGCCTGCACTTCCTCTCAAGGCAGAGCCTTAGACAGTGACTCTGAGCCAGATGCTGTCCCATACCAGGAAGGCCCAAGGACCTTTGACCAGCTGGATGCCGTGTCAAGTTTGCCCACCCCTAGTGACATCCTTGTATCCTATTCCACCTTCCCAGGTGAGCTTATCTGTGTTCCCACCCTTAGCCCTTGAGGTAGCTATGTCCTGAGGTCGTGTTTCTGCTGGGCACAGCCTGTGGGGTCCTTGACCTCTCCTAAGCCCCTTCTCAGGGTGAAGCAGTCAGGGCTTCAGACTGGCATGCAGATTAAGAACAGTAGTCCTGGTTTGGGGTTCACTTGCAGAGTGGACAAGGGAGGGGTTGGCACTTCCCTCAGCACTGTGTTGGGCACCTGGTGGTAAGGCAGGGATAAGGTGTGTCCTCCAGTCCTCTTGAGACCCCTGACTTCCCAGAACCGTCACTTCCGTACTGAGAAGATGGGATCCCCAGACAGTCAGGTGGTGTTGAGGTTGAAGAGTAGCAGGGAGCCACGGGGACAGGGTCGCCTTTGTCAACTGTCCATGAGCCACAGTCCGGATCTGTCTGTAGCCCGATCTGTGGCAGAGTTCATCTTGTCCTCCTGCAGGTTTTGTCTCCTGGAGAAACAAGGAGAGTGGATCCTGGTACATAGAGACCTTGGATGGTATCCTGGAGCAGTGGGCTCGCTCTGAAGACCTGCTGTCCCTCCTTCTCAGGGTGAGTACTCCTTCCTGAGGGCTGGAGAGGCCTGGAAAGCAGGGCAGCTGGCTCCAGTCAGCTGTAAATGCTGATGGGCCCTGGCTGAGAGTCAGGGAGCACTTTGTCTCTCAAATGAGGAGTGTCACCATGGTGATGACGTTTGTCCTGTTTGCAAAGTGCCGCCTTCCCCTGACTCCTTAGAGACAGATGAGCAGGCAGACATCTGGCTCCCAGATGACAGAGTCATCTGAAGTGCCAGGTGGGGTGGCTCAGTGGCAAGAGCATGGTACCCTGAAACCTGGCCATGTGCCGCTCGCGTAACTCTGTGGCACCTCCCCACATGCCCTCATTTAGATAGCTCCAGGTAGCCCAGGCTGGCCTAGAACTTGCCATGTAATGAACAATGAACTTGCACTTCTGGTCCTCCTGCTTCTACTTCTTGAGTGCTGGGATTACAGGTGTTAACCAGCACACCCAATTCATGCAGTGCTGGGGGTGACACCCAGGTGCCATGTACACTAGGTAAGTAACTTCCCAGCTGAGCTACATCCCCAGCCCCGTGCTATGACTCTTGATCTTCAAGCATTGTGATTCTGTCTAGATTGTCCCCTTCCTGGAGACCTCGATGAGAATGAACAGGGGAGGGGCGTGGCAGTGCCTTGCTCCACAGCCAACTCAGGGCACTTGGTTGTACCCATAAGGTGTACCAAGCTATTTCTTTTGGCCACCAACCAGCTGCCAGATCACGGAGACTCCTTGTTAGTTATGAAAGCTTGACCTAGCTTAGGATGGCTTTTGTCTAGCTCTTTCCCTTAAGTGGACCTGCTTCTCTATATGCACTTCTTGTCCCTGGGGTTCTCCTTCCTTTCCTTCTGTGCTCTTCCACTGCTCTCCTGTGCGGCTGGAAGATGCCTGCCTGGCTTCTTGCCTCCAGCTCTTTCTCCCTCTTTGTCTCCTCCAGTTTTTGCTCCTCCCCCCATTTGTTCCCTGCCCACCAGGCCTGCCTAGCCCTCTCCTCCCTAGCTATTGGCTGTTCAGCCTTTTATTAGACCAATCAGGTGCCTTAGACAGGCAAGGTGAAACGCATCTTTCCATAATTAAAAACACACATCCTTAAGTCATTAAACAAATGCAACATAAACAAAAGTAACAACTTTACACAGTTCAAGTAACATTCTGCAGCATAAACAAATGTAACACATCTTTACCCAGTGAAAATATTACCCCACAACAACTAGGACCCTGTGGGTTTCCTCTGCTCTACCCAGGTGCACCCATGGGTCTATAGGAGTCACTTCTGGTCCTGCGTGGGACCCTACAGGACAGACGACAGAGCGGTGCACGTGGTCTCTGGGTCTCCCCTTTCCCGTCCCCTTCCTTACCCCTAGTGTTTCTGTCTGATTGGAATTGTGAGTTTTTATATTAGAGAAGTTGAATTTTCCATTCTTTTACACTAGCTGAGGTGTTTGTTCTATAACCCACCCCAGGAGACTGTAGGTAGGGTCACCTTCAGACGGCCCCTTCAGTGGTCAGCCCCTTCAGTTGTGGCCTCAGACAAGGACACTGAACTCATAGATTGCCCCTGTGGTTCTGTTTTGCAGGTCGCCAATGCTGTTTCTGAGAAAGGGATTTATAAACAGATTCCTGGCTGTTTTAACTTCCTCCGGAAAAAGCTGTTTTTTAAAACTTAATGAGACTGGGGCTGCTCATTGCCTGAATGTTCCCCTAAACCTTCATGGCCTGGAGGTGACTGAGGCCGGACTGTCCTGCAAAGCCAGGGTTTTGGAACTGTGGCAGGCCTCTCCCTTCCCTCCTTTGGAAGACAAGCTCCTAACAGCTTCCAGGTCCCTTGAAGATCAAGAGTCAGAGAAGTCAAGGGAGAGGGACAGAGTGCTGTCATTGTCACCCTGTCTCTTCAGCTGTGGTTAAGGACTGTGGCCTGTGACCCCAAGGTCCTCTCTAGTGCAGGGCTCCTCTGCCTCTGCACTGCTGATGTGGGGTTGTATACTCCTGTCATGGGACTGTCCTGTGTATCGTAGGGTGTTTTGAGCCATCTCTGCTGGCTGCCACGAGCACCCTTCCTGAGTTCTACCAACCAGAAATGTCTTCAGACATTGTCACATGTGCCCTTGGGGACATAACACCCCCACTGGAGGAGCACTGTCCACAGGGGTCTGTGGCTCAGAGTGTCCAGCATCTCCTTCCCAGACCCACAGTCCAGCTGGCCCAGTGTGAACACTTGGATCTGTGAGTCTGGTCCAAGTTTCTTCCTTTAGCACATAATTTGTTCTTAAAAAAAAAAAAAACAAAAGAATCTTAGGCCAAAGGACTTTCCTTTGCCTGTGTCATCCCCATTCCTGTTCCCTGTTCTTCCCTACAAAGGAGACAGTTTTGGTTTTTTTTTCTGAGCATTTCTCCAAGTCTTCTAAGATATCTGCCTGAGCCCAGGTGGTAACTTACGGGCAGGAGCCAGGAGTCCCCATGGATCTCATCTCTTGTCTGAAGGATCATGGATACCCTACTGGAGACACCTGGACAGAGCTCGGCTATCCTGAGTCCCCACCTCTGTCTCCCAGTGTCTTCCTTGCTAAGTGAGCCTGTCCCCTGACGGCAGTGACCCTGCAATTGTGCAGTTCTGGACTTCCCTGGGGAAGGTGCTGTCACTGGTGTCTTTACAGCTGTCCTGACTTTTACTTAGTTGTTGTTGCCTTTTTTTGTTTGTTTTCTGGTTTCAGTGGTCTTTGCCCTGAGATCATCCACTTGGGTTCAGATGGTAGGGGTCCCAAACCTTGTTTGATTTTGAGCTGGGTTCTGACTTTGTAGCCCAGGTTGGCCTCCAAATCTCCATCCTGAGACTTCCTGAGTTCTGGGATTACAATGTGCACCACCATACCAGGCCCCTCACAGGCTTAGGGTACAGCCCTCCTCAGCGCCCTGAGGTTAGGATGTCTGGTTTATAATAAGACAGATTCATACCATGATGTGATTCAAACAATCACTTTATTACTGCTTTCCTTGTGTGGCATTTGCATGGTGGCAGTCCCAGAGCCATCTTTGCTTAGTTCTTTTCAATCACCTATAGGACACAGAAGGAGGTGAGGGTAGCCTTGGTTGAGCATTGAGTTCAGTGACTCTCAGGGAAAAAGGGTGTGATCATGGCTTCCCCTCCCTCTAAAGAGGGGTCTTAACCTGTGGTCCTGCTGGGGCTGCAGAACAGGAGGCCTTGAATCTCAAGTGAGCACATGACAAATGAGCCGATGGTGTGACTTTGGGTGTAGTTTGAACTCAAAGCTGCCTGCGTCTGCTTCCAGATTGCTGAGATGAAAGGTCTGCACCACCACACTGGGCTAATTAGTTTCTTCCATTACTCTTTGAGGCACTAACTAGTGTATGGGTTGAGAGGCTGTCACTTGTGTTCCAAGACCAATCAGCAGGATCAGATACTTTTTTAGCTGTTGTTGGTGCTGGGATGGAACTCATACTGTGCACCTGCTCTAATTTTTTTTTTGAGATGAAGGTTTTTCACCTCATAGCCCAGGATGACCTGAAAGTTGCTGTGTAGTCAGGGATGACCTTAGATTCCTGACCCTCTCACCTCCACCTGTGCTGGGATTCCCTGTACATTCTAACATAGGCTCCATAACCCAGTAGAACATCTGTCTGGTTTCTATAGCACAGGCTCTCAGAGCAGAGTACAGGATCCTTGTCCCAGATTGCTTGCTGTAGCAGTGCAGGCATTGAAAACTGAACACAGATGAAACATCCCTGGTGATGCTTGTGTGTGGATACCTCACAGCAGTTCAGAATGTCAGGTGACAGCTGAGTGAGTGTACAAGTACAACGTGTTTGTGGCTTTGGTTAAAAGACAATGTACACACTTAGCTATGGGGTGTTAATTTATAATCACCTCACCTCAGTCTGTTGTTGGGGGAGAGAGGTTGGTTTTTTTGGGGGGGGTGGTTGGTCTCTTTGGAAGGTTTCTTTATGTAACAGCCCTGGTTGTCCTGGAACTTGCTTTATAGACCAGGCTGGACTTGAACTTACAGAGATCCTCCTCCTGCCTCTGCCTCTCAAGTGCTGGCATTAAAGGCTTTTGCCACCATTGCAGGCCAAGTGTTTTGATTATAGGTTGTGCATGACCATGCTTGACTACATTATGCTGGTTTTGTCTCATATAGCCCAGGCTAGCCATAAAACAATCCTCCTGCCTCTGCCTTCCAAGTACTGGGCATCACAAACCTGCATCACCATGTCTGGCAATACAGGTTTTCTTGCTTTGTTTTGTATTTTTGTCTTGTATGCACACAAAACCCAGAAGAGCACATAGCATGTAAATCCCAGGGATTCCCTCAGTAGAATGGAAACAAAGGTTAAATCAGGGGATCATCACCAATTACCTAATACACTCCTATATTCTTTTTATAAACAGTATTTTAAATGATGAGATGCATTCCCTTCTGAACAGGACAATAAAGCTGTGATTGCTGGCATTTTTCAATGGACATTTACTGAAATGATGAAATGCCTTGGGCTTCCTCCTCTCATCCGTGCCTTCTGTTAGCAGCTTGCTAGCCTTGGCTCACCACCTACGCCTATCTAGACAGGTGCTCCAGTCACCCTCAGAGTTGCAGCTGTTTGAGACTCCAGGCTGCGTGCGCACAACACAGTGTGCTCTCTGCAGCTTCAGGGACAGCCTTCTCCTGGGACAGCTGGCTGCTCAGCTCCCTCCACCTGCTGCCCCCACCCCCCAGCAGCATTCTGCACGGACTGCTCTCCTGAGAATGCAAGGGCTCTGCCCAGGGGCCCAGCAGATTTCTTTTCCCTATTTGGTCTTCCTGACTCTGCCCCCACCCCCAGCCATCTGCGCTCTGTGTGTGCCTGTGTCTGTGGCTGGGAACAGCAGGTGTTGCTGGGACAACAAGTCATGCTTTGGGTCCCAAAGGTGCTGCCGGCTCAGCTGCATAGGGACTAATGCAGCAGCTGGGACCACAGAGGAAGATCCTGGGATTTGCTGCAGAGAAAGCCCAGGGGAACCCTTCCGCACAGTCATCGGGGATCCTTTGAAATGATCTAAACTGGGTAGATGTCCCTCTGCCAAAATTTAGACATGGTCCCTCCCCAGTTCATGATCCAAACAAAAATGGAAAAAAATCCCCTTGATTTTTTTGTTTTACTCTAACTTAAAGAAGCATTTATTTGTGCGTGTGTGTGAGTGAATGTGAGTGCGTGTGAGTGTGAGAATGAGTGTGTGTGTGTGTGTGAGTGTGTATGTGTACAACAGCACAAATGTGGAAGTTGGAGTCTGTTCCCTACTATGCGGGTCCCGGGCATTGAACTCAGCTCATCAATCAGCCCTGGCACCCAGCGCCTTTACCTCACTGTTCCATTTCTGTGCTCTAAGAATCCTTCCTGAAAATGGGCCGAGTGTACTCTGAACCAGCACACAGACAAACGCCTGAGAAGCTGACAAGTATGAATGGGAAACTGACGCAGCCTCAGGCTGGCTTTGACAGCACCCTCGCCCTCCAGCACATGCTCATAGCTGCTAGTTCATATTTGGTTTTCTAATAATCTAATTCAATTAGGGTTCCATGCAAATAAGCTGGCGATAATGACGGCGTCCCTTCTTTATGGACTCTGTCACAAGTGCCACCATCCTTGCTGTTGCTGCTGGGGAGTCTGGTTAGTTCAAGTCCCATTTTACAGAAAACCCAGGTGGTGGCTCCACAGGAGTGGAGTGGAATACACCCTGTGGGCAGATCCCCTCCCTTTCCAGCATCCCTCTCCAGCTCATGTTCCCTCCATCCTTCGATTATAGCGGTTTCTTGCTGTCAGGCTCCCCTCCATCTGCTGTCTGTATCCTCAGCTGCTCAGGCTGGCCAGCTTGTCAGGGATCCTCCAGTCCCTGCCTCCCCAGCACTGGGATTACAAGCATCGGCCACCATGCTTGCCTTTTTCCATGTGTTCTGGGGATTGAACTTGGGTCCTTGTACTTGAAAGGCATGCACTTTACTGTCTACATCCCCCCTGTTGTTCTTTTTAATAATTGTGGTCATTATGGTGAAAAGGAAATGGACTTCCAGGAGGGGACTCTCTGGGGATACACAGGCACAGGAAGAGAAACTCTGCCCCATTTGCCTGGGAGTGGTCCAACCTAGAACTGAATAGTCCCTTGTCCTGCGGCAGATGGGGGACAGTTGGTCATCTTGTGGGAAGTGTGGCAACTAATTGCTAATAACTAAGGTTGCAGAGGTTTAAAACCATTGGATGTGGGCTGTGTAAATATATTTGATCCCTGACTGCACTGGAGGGTGGGGGCTGAACTATACACCCATAAGAAGCAACGAGATACACTCGCTGGTCCCAGGAACCCCTGCTGGCCTCATGGCAGACTGGGCTTGGGGCTAGTGGACCTTACCGAGTTGATCCAGTTGTTGAAGTTGGAGACCCTGGTGAAGACAGATGGCTTGCGGGGGTAGTTGCAGCCCAGACTCGAGCCAAAGCTCACGATGCCATGCACCTGCCACTTGCCATTAGATGCCTGGCAATTCAGTGGTCCACCGGAATCCCCCTGAGGAAGCCAGAGTTGGGGTTGAGGTGAGGAAGAGGAAGCCCAGTGGGGCCTGGTTCTTAGTATACTCAACATTGCCAATGTGGTCATTCTACCCTGAGGACAGCCGCATGGTCACATGGTGTGGTCCCTTTCCTACAGGAGGTGGCTTGTCTTTATTTTGGGTTGGCCTCATGTGGCTCTCTTGCCTCAGCCTCATAAATGCTGGCATTACAGCTGTGGATGATCATTCCAGCTCTGCTCACATCTTCCCCCCAAACAGGGTCTTTCCATGTAGCCCTGGCTGAGCTAAAACATGCAACAGTTCCCCTGCCTCGTCCCCCCTAGAGTTGGGATGACGGGTCTTTGCCCCAGTTGGAGGTAAGCACTTTCTGTGCCTCTTAGCTCTTCAAGCCAGCTTGAGTTTCTCAGGTTCCTTGGAGAAGACACCTGAGTGTTCACAGTCTCAGACTTGCCTGTAGGAGACCATGGAGTGAGGGGTCAATGAAGTCAAGAAACTCTATGTGTGTGTGTGTGTGTGTGTGTGTGTGTGTGTGTGTGTGTGTGTGTGTGTGTGAGACCCTTCCCTCGATGCCCTCCAAAGAATCTGCCTGTAGCAAGTCCTTTGGTTGTGAAACTGTCTTTAAGAAGATTCTATTACATCTTCACAAGGGTCCAAGTTGGGCCATTGCAGTGGGATGACAGTAATGAGAGACTGGATGGGATCAAAAAAAAAAAACTAAAGACTTCCTAGCAGTTAGGCCAAGAGGATACTGCAGGGTGATAGAGCTTAGAGCATCTTTCCTGGGGACCTTGAGAGCAAAGGTCAGGTTCTGAAGTGGTCCAGAACTGCCTCCACGGCTCCCATCTAGGAAGGAGGGAGCAGACAATCCTAGGACACCCCCAACACTCCACCCCACCCCGTCACCACTGCAGCGTCCCGGCCATGTTTGGTTGTAGACGGGCACACTTGGTTGTGTATACTCACATTGCAGCTGGAGGTCACACCGTCACCACCGGCGCACACCATGCTTGTCTTCACTGTGCTTCCCCACCAGGTGGACTTGGAGCAGGTGGCATAGTCCACAACCAGCAGGCGGCCCTGCTGCAGGACATCAGGAGTGGCCCCGTTGGCTGAATGAGATCAGAGAGAAGGCACGGATGGACAAAGGGGCTCCCGGTAAAAGGGAAGCGGTGGGACTGTCTGTCAAGTGCTTGTCATGAAGCCTGGAGACCCGAGTTCGGATCCCCAGTGCTAACGTAAAGAGCCAAGTGAGGCTGTGGGGGTGGAGACTGAGGAGGGAGGATCCCTGGAGCTTGGCAGTGGTACATACAATACAGGCGTGGGGCGGGGTGAGCATGGGAGTGGTGGGGTGTGGTGGGTAAGCATCACTCCTGAGATTTCTGCCCACCCCTTCCTGTCTGGTCCATGTCACTTCGTCCCACTCACAAGGTTGCAGAGGAAGCAGACATGCTAGTGTGCACCGTGTCCTCAATGGTTAGTATGCTGGCTATTGGCGATTGGTCCGGGGGTGATCACCTGACTCAAGCTAAAGCTAATGAGCTCCTTCCTCTGAGATTTCGGCATGGACCTAAAGAGATGAAAGCCACAGAGCTGTGGACTATGGGTGCCATTTCCTTTTATGTGGAGAAGGATGAAGCAGGAAAGACTATGAAGGAGTCCCCCCCCTTGTTCTAGAATGTTCCTCACACCTAGCCATGTGTGTACACTTGGTTAGGATTCCTCTTTTGCTGGGCTAGATCTACATGTTCATCTTTACTATGACAGGGAGCTTACCTGAGTCTTCTAGCTGAGGAAAAATATTCTGTGGTAAAGGTAATTTTCCTCATGGGCCCAGAGACACTGGCAACATCACCCGCATAGCCGGTCAGGATAAAGTTCATTTTCATACCCCCCCCATGCACAAATGTAGAGGCTGCAGTTCTCCTCAGCCTTCTTTATAATTTGATCCTTCAATACAGTTCCGCATGTCGTCATGAGCCCCGACCATAAAATTATTATTGTTCTGCTTCATAACTGTGATTCAGCTACTGTTATGAACCTAAAGTAAATATCTGCTATGCAAGATGTCTGCTACTCTACCCCCCAAAGGGAGGTCTGACCACATGGTGAGAACAGCTGTTTTAGTGTCATCCCTGGTTTTGTCACCCAGTTAGGCTTGGCTGGATGGCTATAGAACCCCAGGGATCTGCCTGGTTCTGCTTTCCCAGAGCTGGGTTAAGTATGCACAGTCACACCTGGCTTCTTTACAGGGGTTCTGAGGATGGAACTCATGCTTGCAGGCCAAGCACTTCATCTGCTGGGCTATCCCCTAGCCCTCATCATCACCCTTCAATTGCAGTTTAGCAGACTCTTCAAACAGACCAGTCCTCATAGCAATATTACTCCTGTTTGACAGATGGGACATGGGAGCCATGGGATTCAAGGATCTCCCCGACACTGCTCCAATTAGCACACATTGGTTAATACTTTCCAGGGTCCAAAGCGTTCCACAGGAACCTTTGACCCTCATCACACCTTCCCCTTTCAAAGGAGGAACTAGGCATTAAGTATTTTCCAAAGCGCCCATTGAGGAACTAGACATTAAGTATTTTCCAAAGCGCCCATTGCCAGCAGTGTGTGTATATCCAAGAAGCCTGAGCTGCCTCCCTGCCTGTCCTTCTCAGTTTCCTTGCTTGGTAGACTGGCCTCATTCCTCTCTGCAGAGAAGAAAATGGCTGCCACTAATGTCTGGGAGTGAGACTTCTCCATTCCCAATTCCTATTGGCTTGGCTTGAGTCAGGTGCCCTTTCCTGAACCAATCACCGGTGATCACAACACTAACTAATCAGAGTTGACCCTGGACAGTAAGATGATCTGATGAGGGCTCTGGGGACTTCACAGAGCTCCAGAAGCCCGAGGTCACAGTGTACACGTTA